TATTTGGTTAAACCCTGAAGTTCACTTTTGTAACGGTAACTGTTAACTCTTTCTACCAGTGGCCCAAGCCCTGCCACCATGTAGGCACCCAAAATAACATGCAGAGTCTTATATTAGCTACAATGTTGCTGGCCAATGACTAGGATTTCTTATATGCTTGCTCTGTCTTAAGTATCAACCATAGCCATTAATCCATATTTTTATAAAGACTTATTTTATGGAGGTCGCCTGCAGCATGGGTCCTCTTCCCGAGATCACATGGCAACTCCAGAGAGAAGAGAGGAGGAGAAAGAGAGTGATTTCCTGCTTGTCCCTGCTTATTTTTTGAGTCTGTCTGCTATGTCACTTCCTGCCTGGATCAAAAGACTTCTCTTTACTACATTTCCCAGAATTCTCCTCGACTCCTAGTCCCACCTTTCTTGCTCCCCTATTTTGCCAACAGTGCTTTATGCAACAACAAATAAGATAAATATACACAGAAGGACCTTCCCCATCACACTTCCTCTGTAAATGCTACTTGGCTTAATTCTGCCCAGCCCAGTCCACTTGGGTAATGAGTGCTTAAGCTTCCATTGGCTGAGGTGTCCACACTGATGTTCTAGGTTCTGTCATTAGCTTAGTTTGTGGGTCTGTGAAATGGCAGCACAGATATTTTTTCCATAGGAAACACCTCAGGTTGTCTTGCCTTTACTGAACCAGGTCAGAAACTCTGAAAATGGAATTTCAACAGCAATCAAATGAGCAAATTAAGAGTCTTCCTGATTTGAGAAAAAGGCAAAATGGAGTGCGGCTGGGCACGGAGGTCTCTGTTGTAATTTACTGAATTCACACTAAGAAGAGAATCCGCTAAATGAATTGCTAATATAAAGACTGTTTCAAAGGGAGCATTAAACCTTCTGAAGCATCGAGAATGGCACGCACCTGCTGATTCCCAAGGATGAAGATGCTAAGAGCGCAACCCATCCTCACCAAGTCATTACAGAAGTCAGTGAGACTCCAAATGGCAGCTGATTGAAACTGCCTTGTCTCCTCTGTCCTAACAGTTCCCAGTGAATTTCCTCGTAAAGGTTAAGGACTCCCAACAGTGGTGCTGAATGAGTCACGTTTTCTATCACATTCACGGAAGTGCTCAATTTTAATCCTGTAAATCTGAATAGAACAGATAAGTATCTGGGCACTTGGAGTAACATTTTAAGTCTGAACACCACCAGCCACACATCTGCAATCTAGGCCTCCTTATCAGGAGAGTGGACCGTCATGACCTAAGGTTCCCCTCAGGGAAAGCAGCTCATCCCAGATAAAAGGAGCAATTTTGGAAGCAAAGCCAAAAAAAAAAAAACAACTGTCCAAGCTATCCAAGCACCTTCCTACATAAATTTACATTCAAACAAAATGTTAATTATAAGAAATCTTATTATCATTAAAACCCGATGCTGTTTAATTTGAAAGTAGTGAAAGTGGTTTCTTCTAATTATCTAATATTTTCTTATTAACTTGGATAGACTACCCATTTCCTATCTTTGGCAATAGGACTGTAGAGCCTGACTCAAGGACACTCGTAGGCTTATAACACAGCTTTTGATTTTCAAAAGTTCATATCTAATTTCTGTACTATAGACATTTTTTATCTTACTTTATAGTAGCCTCAAAAAATAAATTATATGCTAATATACACCTTTTAAAATTTAAAGATGCATGCAGATCGTGTGTGTGTGTGTGTGTGTGTGTGTGTGTGTGTGTGTGATTTTGTTTTTTGTTTGTTTGTTTTTAAAACAGGGTTTTGTTTTTTTTTTCCTGTGAAATCCTGGCTGACATGGAACTCCCTCTGTAGACTAGACTGATCTCAAATTCAGAGACCCACTTGCCTCTCTGCCTCACCACCAGGCCCAGCTAAGCCATGCCTATACTTTTTATAGTAGTAAGAAGGGGACAACCAGGGTGCTGGTGTACATCTTTAATTCCCAGCACTTGGAGGCAGAGGCAGTCCAATCTCTTTGAGTTTAAGGTCAGCCTGGGTTACAAACTGAGATCTGCCTTTAAAAAAAAAAAAAAGTGGGTGGGTGGGAATAGGACTGCCCGACATTTATAATAGGTTACACAAGTGATTACAGTGATTTTTCTTCAACAAAAGCCACAATTTCTTTGTGTGCGGTGTGTGTGTGCATGCACTGTGTCCAGAAACCAATGGATAACCTCTGGTGTTACCCCTTAAGAGCCACCTACCTTATTTTCTTAATTAAAGTACAATTATTTATTTGTTTCTTCTGGGAGGACAGCACATGGGGAAGGCCAGAACATCAAGCTTGGTAGCAAACACTTTCACCCACTGAGCCATCCAGCTGACCTCACCTCATATTTGGGGTCAAGAACTCCCTAAGTAGGCAAGGCTAGTTGGCAGTCTGCCCCAGGAATCCACCTGTATCTGCCTCCCTGACACTGGGATTACAAGTGTAAGTGGCTTTTTATATGGGTGGTGGACATCAAACTTGAGCCCTCATGCTTGTACCTCAAGCTCTTTACTGAGCTATCTCCTCAGCCAGAGTTTCTCATGGGTGAGCTCTGGTGTGTGAGCAGTTCAAATTCACACCAAGTTTGCCTCCTCCTACATTAAAATCCATCAGTCTCCCCAGCATAGTTCTTACTATTATCTGTGGGTATCATCAGAAAACCCTTTAAAGTATGGGGCACCTGGCAAGTTCCTTAAATTCTAGTTTCCTTTTACAAACTAAAATTTTATCTTTGGAAATAAATAATGTCTGTAGTTCTCCATGTCCAGATGGGCTTGGTGTTCACTGCCAACATGTGCTCTAGATCCTAGGTGTAACCAATGCACACTGGACTTCTAAATGATGGTACCTCTTAGGAGCAGACCCTTAGCCTGGGTCCTACTGTATCACCCTTTTCACTACACTGTTGCTACATCACCTGTGTGAGCATCACCAGCAGGTCACAAATCAGGGCAAGTCACCCTTCAGTATTCTAACAAGTACAGTGTTGATCTTACCAATCCATTAAAAGATACTGAGGAAGGACAGGTGATGGAATGTAGTTGGTAGAATGTAGGCTTAGCCTAGCAAGCATGGAGCCCTGAGTTGCATCTCCAGCACCAAATAAGCAGGTGTGGTAACACATACCTGCAATCCTAGCACTCGGAGGTAAAGGTAGAAGGATCAGAAGTTCAGGGTCATCCTTGGCTACATAGCAAGTTCAAAACTAGGCTGTGATACCAGTGAATTTGCTGAATGAAAGCAAACAGGCAAGCAGAATTCTGAGGAACCCAGCAGGTGTTCACCTTCTAACAAATCCCTGAGCACTCAGGTCTCTACAACAGCCACCAGAGCTTAGAAAGGTGGCCAGTGCAGCTTTCTCGGGCTTCCCTAAATGTTACTACTGTCCACATCCATCCAAGTTTCAACGCTGATGGTATATTCAGTGTAACCTAGTCACCAAGTAAGAATGGAAAAGTTGAATAAATTTAATGTGCAAATTCCAGGGAATTTAAAACATACACTTTTCTCTAATCCACCCATTTGTTCCCATATTGGCTAGGCTTTTTTCTCTAGAACACATGCTTGGTGTCACAAACATGGAGAGTCTTAGGATGACAAACTCTGTGGCCCACAGGTTAAGGTTGCCTGGACTCAGGGAGGTGTATTGAAATTGACAGAACTGATTCTAAGCACCAGGTCCCCAGCCTGAAGCAGTTTGTCCTTTGTCATCCCCAGGCCTGCCTTCTTAGTTGGATATGAGACAAATTCCACTTACAGCATGAAATCCATGTAAAACACTTAGCCCACTCCTAGCACACAGCAGGCATTCAATAAATGGAAGCCACTCTGTGAATAAGGTCCCCTGGGGCCAGTCAGAGTCCAGAGGAGAGCTGAATACACGTCCCAATAATTATGACCCAGCATGGGAACTGATTAGCCACAAAATGAAACAGGAGTAAGGGAAAAAAAAAAAAAATCAGTGTTCTGCTTTAGTAAGGATGCTGAGAGAGGAAGTAGCTGGCTTGGTGACAGAAAAGACAAAGGTCTTTGATGAGCATGAGAGTGTGTAGGTACACAGAATGGGCAGAGATGCCCAAGGGGCCTGCAAAACCCAGTAGGAACGCACTTTGGAAGCAGGTCATTGAGGGCCTTGAATGACACACTGAAGGGCACAAACACTTGAAGCTTCTTCTTGTAGACTGGGGACTAACCAACTCTCAATGCTTGTCTCCTGTGCTCCCTACTCAGTACCTACAAATTATACCTACACCAGTACAGCCCTATCAGCAGGCCACTAGCCCACACGTGTGCCACTAGAGGGAAAGGGACACGGAGGTGAAGGCACATCAGCAAGTCCAAGCACCAAGGACAATTCAAGTGGACCACATCCTGTGAAAGCAGGAAAGGAAATTCTTTCTTTCTGGCGTGAACAGGCCAGAGGACATCCTCAGGTGTGGTCCCTCAGGAGCCATCCACCTTAGTTTTTTGAGACAGTCTCTCTCACTGGCCTGGAGCTCACTAAGCAGGCTTCTCTGGCTGACCAATGATGTCCAGGGACCCTCCTATCTCTGCTCCTCCTCAGCACTGGGATGACAGGCACATGCTACCACACTTGGCTTTTTGACATGGGTGTGGGAGATCACATTCAGATCCCTGTGTTGGTGTGGCTACCACTTCACTGACAGAACCATCTCTCCAGCCCAGGGATGAAGCAGTTACTGGCAAAGTCACTGTGTAGTTTCTCTGACACTTAGAAAATCTGGCACACAACTCTATCTTCATCCTGACTCTAGCTTCCATGCTCCAGTGAAAATCACAGTTCATTTGGCTTAAAGGAGTGAAATGCAGCAGAAAGGGAGCAGTGTCTCAAGTTGTGCACTGTGACTCCAGCCACCTGTGAGTCACCCCGAGTGAGGGGTTGGGCCCATACCCAGTCAGTCTAGAACTGCAGCTTGCTGTACTACCCTTCACCGACAGGAACCAAAGGAATCACAGCCATTGTCTACTCACCCAGAATTTTACGAGGAAGAAGGCGTTTTGAGGGCCCTTTCCAAACAGTTCCTTTAAGCCACCTTTCTTTTCAGGAAATTTGTCATATATCTGACGAATGTCCACAGATTCAAGCAACGGGTCACTGTAAGAATGGTTGGCATGCCCGATGTGCACGAAGAGGTGTTTGTTGTACTGTAAGAAACCAACGGAGACATTTCCATTACAAACACTTTCATAGAACAGGGACTCACCTATGTGAACTGGAGAATGAGTAGGAATCATAACATCCCACCTCTGAAAAGATACATTAGAGCCTAGAGGAAAACAAGCACTGTCACTGATGGGCAAGGCCATGTAGTTACCGAAATGCCAAAGTAAATAAGTAAATAAGATGCCATAGTAATGTCTCAACTACCAAACAAGAAACAATTTTATTATCCAGTGTCACCTGGCTCACCTGACACTGACATCAACACCCTTTGCAGCTCCTTACCCACAGCATAAACCTTGAATGATTACAGTTGCTAATAAAATCACCCACGATGCATTTTTAGCCCTAGCTTTCCAAATAGGTATTCCCTTGCTTTGGGCAGAAATGAGAGTGCTGAGCCTCTGGGTCACCAGTCACCATAGTAACCCATATGAAAGTTCTGTGTGCCAGTGGTGGTGGCCCACACCTTTAATTCCAGCACTTGGGAGGCAGACACTGGCCTCTGTGAGTTCAAGGCCAACCTGGTCTACAGAATGAGTTCCAGGACAGGCTCCAAAGCTACACAGAGAAACCCTGTTTTGAAAAACCAAAACAAATAAGTTTTGTCCTTCACTGACAGGAACCAGAGGAATCACAGCCATTGTCTACTCACCCAGAATTTTACGAGGAAGAAGGCGTTTTGAGGGCAAAACTTCCGTATGAAGGGCTAGTCAACATAGTTGAATACAAAGTTAGGGCCATGAGTAAAGAATCTCCAAGGCCAAACAGGGACAGTAAGAAAAAAGCATAGGTCAGTTGGGAACAAAGAAACAAAGAGCTCAAATTCTATTAAGTCATTTATTGACCAAGGACACTCTTTCTTCCCTTGCTTTGTTATAAGACCTTATTTGGTTTGTTTGTTGTTTGGAGACATTTGGAGACAGTATGCAACCCAGGCTAGCCTGCAATTGGGTATGTAGACCAAGCTCAATATACACAGATCCACCTGCCTCTGCTCCTAAGTACTGGGCTAAAACATACTCCACCAAACCAGGCTTAAAACTGTTCATGGAATACAAAGGAGTGTGTTATGACCCTCAACAATGATTTAAACATCACTAACGCCTCAATCCCACTCTTACGAAACTGGAATCTCTGAGAACTCAGGCCAGGCACAGGTCATCTTTAAAGTTTGTTGACAACATCCACTGTGTAGTCGAGTATGAAGCTACTATCTAGAAACTTGGTACCACTTTAGGCCTGCATTTCCCACTTAGTCACATGGCCCAGGAACATCCAGGAGAGCAGGAGCTCCAGGAGAACTCAAGGAATCACAAGGGACACTACATTTCCAGTTCTTCACACAGTGGAGCCCCCCCCAAAAAAAGTTTAAACCAATAGCTTACCAACTGTGACCCTGAGTTAGACTATTATAGTTGATATTAAATTGTTGCAAGCTTGGCAAATGCTTCTACAGATTTGCCCACTAGTAAAGAATGTGGAGTCTAGATTCAGCCAGTTCAAGGACAAAACCCTACACTCAACACAATGTATGCTATCTGTGGCAGTGACCTTGCCTTCCTAGTGTCTAAAGTGGTAACAATGATGGAATGAATCTCCCAGGGTTGTCAGAAGGTTTAAATGATGTCATACTTCAAAGTCTGTCATAGATCCCAGAGTCAATGAAAAGCAAGCACTCAAATGCTAGCTGCTGTCATTTTAAATGACACTCCTGAGATGCACAGTGAATAGATGTACTACTGCAAAGAAGTAGTTTGGGGCCATGTATAATCCAGTTTCATCAACTGGAATGACTGGCTATAAACTCTAGAAAATATAGCCTGAGGGAGTGCTGGCTGCAACCCTGACTGCTAGCCAACTGAAGAACTCTGGCCATGACACTGAGAAGCAGAGGGATGGATGTCACATCTGATGCCAGTATCCCATACATGCAAAATATGACTAAGGACTAGATGGATATCCTCTTTCATATGGCCAAATCGTATGGCAGTTTAAAGTTAGGCAACTAACTTTACCAAGGTTTCCAAGACTAGTGGATTCCAGATGAGATGAAAACAGGACCCCATAGAACTCTTACATACACTCCACATAGGGACCAGATACCTGGCAGTTTTGAGCTCAGACTGAGAACCTGTAGGCCTCTGTAGAAGAAGAGAGTGTGCCTATGTTCAAAGGCCTGCAAAGTCCAAGGCAATGCCACTGTATTAGGAAGATAAGGTCACAGGGAGGGGTACACCTGTGAAGAGTCTGTCACACTATTTTCTCGTTTTTATTTTCATGTGTATGGATGTTTCTTTGTGTGCATGTATATGCACCACATGCATGCCTGGTGTCCACAAAAGCTAGATGAGGGTACAGATCCCATGGAGCTATAGTTATCAGCTACCATGTGGATACTGGGAACCAAACTCATCCTCTGCAGAAGCAGCAGGGGCTCTTAACCAAGGCTCCAGTCCCAAGGCCATCTTCTCAATGACAAGAAAATAAAAGCCAGAGAAAGATGCAGGGTGCAGTGAAGGCTAAGGAACTACTAGTCTCTAGCTTCAAGTCTGAGTGGTCACAGTTCTGCCAGTTTTGCTGCCTCCTGTATGCAGTGAGTCATGGAAATGAATGGAGTGCAGCAGGGCCCTTGGGGACACAGTAAATTGAATGCAGGTGACCTGCCTGAGCTCCTAGCTCCTCTGACTCACTGAGGCTAGGGCAGAGTGGGAACAAAGTTAATAGGCTCTGAAGCTTAAAGTCTTCTTGTTCTTGGTACTGAAATGTCCCACACAAGTGTTGGAGCTCAGACCTCTCCTTGCCAAGAGGTCAGGAAGGTGAACAGAAGGGCAAACTTTATCATAGTCATAGGGGTCAAGAAGGGATAGTCATGCTGTCCTTTGAGCCTAAGAGCCATTACCATCTTCATGAGAGCAGCTGCGACTGCCCCCTGGACACTTTCAAGATCTAGCTTGTTGAGGTTTCCTCATGGGAGGAGGGAGTGGGTAGGGTCATCAGACAGCTTCTTGAGATCTAGTCACTCTTTCCTACTCTTTCTCAGCTGTACATAACTTTGCTGGGCTGTACATGGCCTTGAGGTCTCCACCGGGAGAAAACAGAATGTGGCAGTTTAAATGAAAGGGAACCTCATTTATGCAGCTATCAGGCAGTTGCCACTAATACTGAACTAAGCTTTTCTGATGGTGTGGCTTGTTTAAGAGGGAGTCAAACACACAACTGTAAGCAACCCCTCACTCAGAATCTATAAAGGAACCCAGTGGATTCACTGGTTCCCAAGGTGGACTTGAATGGATCCTTACTTTGTTTTGTCATTGATGTCTAACCTGGGGTCAGGAGATGTTTGTCTTCATCTTCCCAAGACAGGTCCATTCAAGTTGAAAACCATGGTAATGACTGGGCACAAAGAAGGAACCCTCAGAGCCTCCTGTGTACATGGGCAGTGCACTGCTTGTATAACAGAGTGTTCCAGGACAAGAGGTAACTATTATAGGCAGATGGAGCTTGGCATAAAGCCTGCCAGTCATGGAGCAATCAATAACCTAGACACTAAGACCACTAATGGTCTGAGTTATGGACATTCCCACCATTCTGGAGTAGGAAAACAAATATCCATCACTTGAGAGTTGGAGCAAACAGAAGAAGGTGTGTAGCAGGTTTAAATGCTGGAGCCCAACCCTCAGAGCCAGCTGCTCAGGGGGAATTGAACCTCTTGCCTGTGTGGAAGAAGGGTCTTTTGTCCTGTTGTGAGCCATGTTTTTCATGTATGACCTCAGGTCATCCTTGTTGTAGTGGACTTTACATTCTGCTTATAGAGAAGAAAACAGGAGCTAAGAGTTGCACATTGTTGTCTGAAGTCACACATTTGGGAATAAGCCTGGAGTAAAGAATAAAGCTCAGGCATGTGAGAGCCAGGCTTTGGGTTACACGGACATGGACATCACCACTATCTTCCTAAGGAACCACCTATGTATGCCCTCCCAGATGTGCAGTCAACTGTTCCTGAAAGCTGAATCAAGGAGAAAAGCTGAACAGCATTTCCCAAGTCCGTGAAATTAAATTAAATTCTAGATCAAGTCACAAGTGCAGTAGACCGAGTCTTCAAAGGTTTCTATTTGGAGGATGTGACCTCTGTGCCCGGAAAGCTGAAAGGGACAGAGAAGCTGGCGCTGCCTCTCTAAGGCCATGAACGTGAAACCAAACCTTGGCCAGTGGAGTCTGCAGGCTTTATTGCTGCTAAGGAGTGACTTTGTTTCTAAGAATACAAAGGACTGAAGAAGGTGTCCTAGAGACAACAGCATGAAACAAATAGACCTCGTTTTCCCATCGACTCAACCTGGGCAGGTCAGGAGTCCTTCTGGCTGCAAACCCAAAGGGCAAAAGGAACAAATCAACCCCATATGCTAGTGCCCAAGTATCAATGAAATTGAAACTCCAGAGACCACTGGGCGAGGCTGTAACTCCTTCCTAAAGGAATGGGGTAGGAATGGACACTGCCCTACTAGCTGCCTCCTTTCCCAAGAAACCCAAGGCATGGTGCTCTCGCCCAAAAGGCAGTACACACATCAAACCACAGAGGAGGAACAATTTCAAAAGGAAGTAGCTGCCAAGAAATAACTTGTGACAAGGCCCAGGACTGTAATTCTTCAAAACCCAACCTGTTCAGTTGAAAACAGTAATATGTAAACATCAAAACACGGGACCAGGGAGATGTCTCATTGGGTAAAGACACTCTGTATGCAAGCCCGAGTTAAATCACCTGAAGGAAAGGAGGAGGAAGGTGGAAGGCATAAAGCTGGAAGGAGAGAACTTCACAAAGCTGTCCTCTGACCACTACATGCACGCATGGCAAATGCCACACATAAACATACGAAAATTAAAAGAAAAACATTTTTTTTAAAGAAATAAAGTTTCCTAAGCACTTAATAGCTATAAACAGTCACCCAAATATCATGGGCAACAACAGAAAAGGTAACTACTCTGT